AAAAAAAAAAAAAAACTTACCGCGAATGTTGTTACAATAAATAAATAACTCATTTCGATCGTTTTTTATGACTGATTTTTCTCACGAAAAGTAGAAGTAGTTTATAACGTTTAAATAATGTTCCATTACCAAAAGAAGTCAAACTGACAGTACATACCTGAAACAGAAACAGAATAATACAAAATTTTTCACTAGAATATTACAGAAATATGACAGGTATAGAATTCTACGTGTCAATGTTATATGTACGAAAATTTCGACAGAACTATAACATAAGTTCGTCCTTCGTAATTTCACGTGTATTTATTTGTATAAATTTCGAAATCACAGATTCACGAAACGTCGAAATTAATTTTTTTCTTTTTTTTTTTTTTTTTTTTTAATTAAACAAAACGATCTGGATTGTTACAATTTATATCTAATTAACTAGACATAAAATTCCACATTGTCGAAACTATAATGCTACAATGATGAAAATTATTCACCAACTATCCTTTCTTCATAATTGTACAAATGTAGAAATGCTAAATAAAATTTCCAGTGCCATTTTTGTATTAATTTGTTCTAATAACTATAACATACAATTGTGCAAACATACATCATCGTGTACGAAAACAGAGATCATTTGCGGCTGCTTCCTCTTCCTTCGCGCCATCTTGCACGCCGATTAACCGCAACGGTCCCGAGTTATTAGTAAATCCTACATTTAAAAAGAACCACGTGCGCACAACAAGTAACCTAAATGCTCGCTCGAGGACAGCGCACATTGCACTAGAAGACACGAAACTGGTATTCGAACTGGCGGATATACGTGCGTAGAGAAGGTGTGTGTGTGTGTGTGTGTGTGTGTGTATGTATATATTTAGTATTTACCTTTGTTCCTCAACTAACCAACCCGGGGTCACCAGGGTCATCATTTGCATATCTTTACTATGCTGATTTATGACAATTTATGGATTTCCATGACGCGATCGACAAAACTTTGCATTTTAAAGTCTTGCTTTTAATTCGATAATATCTCGTCCGATCGGGGGCAAGCAAAATCACCAGTTTCTGGTGGAAATATTCCACCAATGAAATGTCAATGAATCGAATTTATAAGTTCGAAGGAAAATCATCGTTCAATTTACATTATTTGTTAAGTCGGTAAGAAATATATCTAAGATACAATATTAATAAAGTTACTTAAAAAAAAAAAAAAAATAGAATTTATTCTTTAATACTTGGTATTATCATAATATTTGGTCAATGAATCGAATTTATAAGTTCGAAGGAAAATCATCGTTCAATTTACATTATTTGTTAAGTCGGTAAGAAATATATCTAAGATACAATATTAATAAAGTTACTTAAAAAAAAAAAAAAAAAATAAAATTTATTCTTTAATACTTGGTATTATCAATTGCTCTATCTTGCGCGAAAGCGTAATCAGAAAATCTTTATTTCAAAAAAAAAGAAGACTTATCTTAGTTGTTTTCACAAGACGCACTGATACGAGAACTTTGAAAAAAAAAAAGTGGAGCAATAGCTAGTTTTGCGTTATGAGACGATAAAACAAAAAAATACGAATAATACGTTATGATCGTTTTACGCAGAACGTAACTGGTAACTTTTAAGGGAAAGAAGGGAAAAGAAAAGTCTCCTCTCTCGATTAAAGAGCTAGGAAAAATTTCACAGATAAGAGATCGCGAATGTGGTAACAAAGAGAGTAACGACCAATATCGTATTTGAATATTTGAGAAAGCCACCCCCCTTTCGACATTCATTGTTCTTCGGTGCGATGCTCGAGGGGAGTTGGAACAAATGCGTCGGGTTTGAACGTTCCGATAGTGGCGGCCAGTCATAGCCTATGTCACACGGATGAATGACGTAAAGTTAAAATGCGCTTGCGACACTCATATTTATAAGTGATATTACAAATACACTTGCAAGTTACACACGTCTGATTTCTCTTTTGCTCTGCATATAGCAAAGCAGCGTACACGGCTCGGGATGCAGCGCAATAGAGAAAAACGCAAGTGTGGCAACGTGCCAATCGTTGATGC